TGTATTGGGAAGAGCATTTAAGTCCAACTAATCTGAAACCGTGAAACTAACCTGTGTGTGAAAACACCTTCTTTGGTTAGCCTGCTGGAAACGAGTCCTTCCCTTCCACCCGCAACACTTTATTTCGGCCATAAAAAAGGGTATTCTCTATCCGTATTGGGCCTTTAAACACGGGCCATTAAAATTGATGGATTATGCTAATTCGTGACTCTGTTGTTGTTGTTTCGAATGCCAATATCAGCAAGCTTACTTGGTGAAAGCAAGCGAATTTAAGGCAAAGGTTAAGTTTTTTGTTTTCCAGTGGTGCCATCTATGCCCAAGAATATCTTCAGCCACACACACTCGTCACAGCCCGGTTATAGGACGGACTCATTCATACATCCATTCATTCAGCCACAGATCGTAATTTTTACCTGAACCAGAGAATGATCAATCTCCAATTAAGTACAGCCAGAGGTGTATTTCTTTTTTTTTTATTAAATGAGAACATGGAGGACTTTGTGACCGGACAATTTTAACATGCACCAGGCAGCATTTACTTCCGCGGCGAGGGTCGAATTCACGACCTCGACATAGGCTTGAAGCCCAACCAAACAGACTCTCCCGGCCTAAATTCGGGAATCTAGATCATCGAAGTCTTATTGATCTACGTATGAACAATTTTGAAATTTCCATACATTTTTTTATTCTACTGAATATTAACTTTAATTTACTTCAATTTCCATTAATAATTAACCTTTTTTTAAAAAAAATTTCATTAAAATAGCGCTGTAATTCAAAAAGTAGCATGTCTGAATGTAGACTAAATAAAATTTATTAAATCCCTCATTTTACAACAGTAATTTTTTGCAAGAACTTTTTCTACTTATACTCCCTTTTGCCCACATACCGGTTTTAAAAATAAAACATACCAGTTTTTAAATGTGACATATATTAAATTTTTAGTTAATACAGGCGACTTTAATTACTTTTTTTACTACCATTTTAAAGAAACAAGCAATACTTTTTTCCATGCTTATTGCAATAAAAAAATATTTAATAATACATTTTTATGATACCAGCGGTGCTGACGCAAAATATCCCCAGAGGTAGACGGATCATAGTCCCCTTGCCGCCAGGCTAACTGATGCTTTTCGTGGTTTCGCTTTCCATGTAATGCAAATGCGGGTTACGTTCCATCAAGAAGTCCTCCACGGAGGCAAATTTCTTCCAATGCTTGGTCTAGGAGTTCCTTTGTCTTCTGGATTGTGTTCAAAATTACAAGGCTATGGAGTTTAACATTAGTAGTCGTAAACCCAAAAAAATTGGGTCGGCTGTTCGGCGATGGTTATAAAATAAAAATAATCATAAAAAATACATTTTTATGAAAGTTTTTTTCCTATTTATTCTTTCTTGAATATGTATTCATAGAGAATATTTTTTCCCTTTGCTCAATTATGTACAGTATTTCATGAGTATTCGTTTTATTTATTTTTTAAATATTCTTATTCTGATAACTATATTTGTTTTTGCATTTTTCCATTGGTCAGTTTGAATATTTTTGGACACCAGCGACCTAAACGGAATCCTTCTATTTCTTTAGTAATAAATAGGTTTTAAACACATACCCATGTATTTTTGGTAATTTATTAAAATAATGCTGTTATAACAACATTGTTCCATAATTTTTTTTTTGGCAAAGACATCTTCTTAAGTACATCTTACATTGTTTGTTTTATTTTATTTTGTATCCGTCGTTGAACAGCAGACAAAATTTTGGGTTTACAACTACTAATGTTCAACGCCATGGCCTTGTAATTTCGAACCAATCCAGAAGACAAGAAAACTCCTGAATCAGTGCCCCCAGAGGTATTGACTTGTTATAGGAACATGGAGGACTTTGAGACTCGGCAGATTTAACGTGCATCAGTAACCATTTACCACACGGGGAGTCTTAGGCCGGCGGGAATCGAAAACACGAACTCTTGGACATGGGCCCAGTGCCCTACCAACCAGGCTATCCCGGCCATTATATTGTTTGTTGAATTCCCCCCCCCCCAAAAGCATAAAAACAGTAACATTGGTCATATTATTTGTTTCATTAATATCTTAGCTGCTTAACTGCTTTCATCCCGCTATACTTTTTAATTTCATAAATAAGGAGTTTAAAGAAAGTGTGTGTTAAATTACAGTAAAAAACAGCACTAAAAAACGACCAAAATTAGATTCTAAAATTTGGGGGGTGTTTATCCGTGTGTCAATATTTAAATGAGTTAGAAATAATGATATAATTATGTAATAAACGTTTACTAGTTAATTGTTAAACAAATGACATAAACAAATGACAAGTTAAACAAATGACCTAGACTCCAACTCTTCAAATTCAAATTTGTTTTAAAAAAGTAGAGAAAAAAAGATTTAAAAGAATGATTGACTCGAAGCTTTTTTTTAAAAAAATATCTTTTTAACTACATTTTATATTGCTTGCTAAATTAAAAAAATAAAAGTTGTACATTTAATTTGAATTTTTATTTATTTACAATTTAATTAATTACACTACAGTTTTTTTAATTGTATTGTTAGGAATTTCTGGAAAAGTAAAGTACAAGAGAGAGTAACACAAAGATATAACCAAAACAGGATTCTAAGTTTCAAAGTATGTTATCAAACAAATTTTCTATTTGGCAATATTAAAATGCGATGAAAATAATGATGTATTTCATTCAATGAAGTAATTTAAGGCATTTAAAGCAAATAACACTGAATGCAGATTAAAATTCAAATTAAATAAAATTTTGAAAACAATGATGAGGCATTGAGAGAATGCTTAATCCAATTTCTTTTAGCAAGAATATATTTTTAAATGTGTGCTACGCTGTGTGTTGGATTTCATGAAAATTAATGTAAAATTGAGCTATTAGCTTTATTCATCTTTGCAATTTTACTGTTTCGATTAAATTATACTTTTTAATCTCTTAATTTAGATTATAAAAAAATGCTAATTAAAAATTGTCACTAAGATATGATCAAAATATATTTTAAAGTATGTTATTGAACAAATTTCTCGTGTTTCAATATTTAAATCAGACGTCAAGAATAATGTATTCAATTAGCTTTTATATATTGAGGTAATTGAGGGCATTTAATGCAAATGACATAAGATTTGAATTTCAATTCCTCAAATTTAAATCAAAGAAAAAAAAGAAGGCTAAATTCGAAAGATTTTTAGAAAAAAAAATTCTTTTTGCTGTTCAAAAGTTCGTTGTTTCTTAAATTCTCAAAAATCAATGTAAAGTTATACATTTCATTGGCTTAATTTTAATATATTTGCAATTTTTATGTCTTAATTGCATTAAAGTTTTTAATTGTATAGTGAGGAAATTCAAGAAAGATTAAGCGCTTTAAAAAGTAGCATTTAGATGTGACCAAAACAAAATTCTGAGTTTTAAGTTATGTTTTCAAATAAATTGTCCATTCGTCGATATTTAACTGCGATGAAAATAATGATATATTTATGCAATAAACGCTTAACTATTACGGTAATTTACGGCACTTAATTCAAATGACATTGAATACAAATTTCGATTCCCCGAATTTAAATTGAAAAATCAAACTTCTGGAAGCAAAGATTAAGCTTTTCAGAGAATGCTTAAATCGATGCCTTTTTTATCAAAAATATCTTTTTTTTTTATTTTGTTTTATGTTGTTCATGCAGGAATTCACAAAAGTAAGTGTTTGAACATTTCATATAAAATTGAACCTTGAACAGCAAAGGAAATTGAAAATTTCGTTTGCTTCATTTATATTTAATTTTATAACCATCGTTGAGCAGAAGACCCAATTTTGAGTTTACGAATACTAATGTTCAACAACGTTAACCTTGTTATTTTGAACCCGATACAGAAGACAAGGTAACTCCCGTATCAAGTATAGGGAGAGAAATTTACCTTATTGGAGGACTTTTTGATGGAACTAACCCGCATTTGCATTACATGGAAAGCAAAAGAACTTAAACCTCCCACGGTTAACCGAATGGAAAGGGACTGTAACCCATGATCCGTCTACCACTGAGGTTATTTTACTTCAGCGCTATGATCGAAGCGAGCCGGGTGTAGAATTCGTATCGACCTACCATCGTTGGGATTCGAACCCGGTTCACCTCAGTGGAAGGTGAGCGTTCTACCCCCTGATCCACCACGGCTTTCTTCATTCATCTTTGCAATTTTAGTGTTTTTAGTATATTCTCTAATTTTCTAATTTTATAGTTTGGGATATTAGAAAAGACTAGTCAAAGCAAAAATTAACGCTAAGATATGAACGAAAAACTATCATAAAGTACGTTTTGAAACAACTTTCTTGTGTTTGAATACTTCATCAAATAGGACGAAAAACTAATAATATTACGGAAGCAAAGAATAGCCATTTGAGAGAAAGCTTAATTTGATGTTTTTTTTTTTATCAAAAATATTTTTTTTAAATCTGTCTTATGCTTGTTAAATTCACGAAAATAAATGCAAAATTGAACATTTTATTTACCTTTCTCCTCATTGTAAATTATGCTGTTTTTATTACATTAAGCTTCTTAATATTATATTCTAAAATATTAGAAAAGACTAATTAATTTAAAAATTAGCTCTAAACCATGATCAAAGCAACATTATAAATTTTTCAATGTGTTTTCAAACAAATTTTTCGTATATCAATATTTGAATCTAACTGGAATTATGATATATTTATCCAATAAGCGTTTATTATTAAAGTACTTAAACGGGCACTTAATGCACATGACATTGAATATAGATTCCGATTCTCAGAATTTAAATTGAAAAAAATAAAAAATTCCGGAAACAAAGATTAAGCGTTTGAGAGAAGGTGCAGTGCAAACATCCTGTTTCAATTTCTTATTTTTATTTTCAACAATAAAAAAAATGACGTAACCATTTCCTTAATCGGCCGGCCAGTTCCAGATATTTTATATCTTATCTTCTTTTTCTACAGAGCCTATTATCTCACTAAAAAGAACGAATATCGTTCGGAAAAGGGCGGAGTTAGGAGACAGCAAAAATCTTTCTGTTGCCGGCATCGAAAGCAACAAGTTCGCAACTTACAGTATCTGGATCAAATTTAGCAATCCATGTGATCTATTTGCAGATTCATTTTCGGATATAATTTTCAACACCCTCCGAAGAAGAAGTGAAATGATCGGCTGAAGGTGTCGTTCGTCTCAAATAGATTCGATAATGGCCTCGAGAAACGAGGAGATTTAGAAAACTTAACTTTTTTAAAGTGACATCAGTGGAAGTCTAATGCGCATGCGTTGTGGATGCGAGTGTGTCTTCCGCGAGTAAGATCTCTTCTTCTTCCCCATCCCTGGATCCAAGAGGCAAAACACTCTGACTTGAGGTAGAACTTTGGAACATTTCGTTCTTTACCATCTCAGGTGTCATGCCAGTCGGAAGGTCCCTCCAATATTACCTCCTACGGCTGTGGTTTTCGGGGCCTTGCCGATACCACGAGGACCCCTCGTAAGGCCGTGTTATATCTTTAATAATCAAAAATTTAGAGCTTTATTTATACATATTTATATGTTCATCAATTTTTTTTGTGGTGTAAACGTTCTTTCTACAAAGTGTCATATTTCATTGTTTCTATTTTGTGCAGTGTTTAGTTTAATTTTTGTTTAAAATTTATATTTATTTTTTAAAAAGAAATAATTTTGAGGTATAGGAAAGTTTTTTTAAAAAATATATTTATTTTCGAACAGTTCATCTTTACTCATTATCAGAATTTAAAGCCCTTATTGCAGCTGTGTTGAGACCTTTATCATAAATGGATAGTGACCTTTGTGAACAAGTACCCTCTGTACATTTTACTCTGTGTTCCTATGTGATTAACAAACCTTCTCGAAGAACATATTCTACGATTTGGACAACGTTTATTGGATAGTCTGTTTACTTTTGCGTAGTTTCTAGTCGTGTGGACTTTTCAACTAACCCAAACAAACGATTTTCTTAGGATCTTAGGACATAATCCTAGTTTTTTTTTCAACTGCCTCACCTTAGAGCAATCTTGATAGGTCATGCGCCTCCCCTACATCTACCAAATCCTCCGGCATCTTCTGCTGGTCTTCCTTTGCTTGAGTTCCTTGTGGTTGGTCACTCCTTGCCTGGACATAAGCACAAACAACACCTCAGAGTTGTGTCTGGACGGTAAAAAACAATCGAAACAGCGTCGTCACAATGACAACTTTTCGATGAAAGCTTTGATGGATGCAGCCCAAACAAGAGCTTATTTGTCGCCGGCTGTGTTTCTGGGCACACTGAGGAGTGTCCTTGTGCAGCGAGATGGAACAATCCGAGCATGGTTTGCGATGGACAATGCCCTCAAAACGAACACCTCCAAAGGTGGCACTTCCAGTAAGGAGGACACCGAGGTTGTGTATTACAGAAGTGGAAACGAACTGTGTTTGCTGGAGGTAAATCAGAACAACTTGAAACTGGGCAGCCAGTATCTTGTGTTTGGTGTGCCGTCAGCAAAATATGCTTGGCCTTCGGTCACTGCCACTGCTTTACCCATTCCGAACGATAAACGAATCTTGCGAGCGGTTAAGAAGGTCATTTGCAAAGATTGTGGTAAGTGCATATTTTAATTTTACTTTTTTTAAATTTGATATTATGTTTATATGTTTAGTCAAGTTTACATTTAATATTTTTTTTTTTGTGAAGTGTGGTTGGAATGTAATTTTCTAAAATCGTGATGTGGTTTTAATTTAACCCTTTTACGCAGATGGGACACTGTCTTTTTTATATAAATATATTTTTTTCTGACTCTAGTTACAAGCAAAAATATATTTTGGTATTTTTTAATTATAAAAATCAGTCTAATAGTTACTAAAAAGTCTGGTTCTTGAATGAAAAGATTCTCGGAATTATATTTGTTCTAAAACATAAAATCTAAAAAAGTAGTTAGAAAATATTTTTTACTTTTCAAAATTCATAAGCATTGATTTTTTTTAAATTTGAAGCAACCTTTGAGCCTTTATTACTTTCTTTCAACTATTTCTTTTGATTTTATTATTGTGGTAAAAAAATTTCTTCAAAATCATTTCAAATACAGATTCTTACTTTATACCCCGGACTTTGTTTTAAAGTACAGATCCTAATTACATTTTTTATTCTAACCCAAATAATCGGTAAATATCCCTCTATCCATAATGAATATAAAGTAAATTTAGGTTTTGAATGCTTTATTATTTATTGAAATTATTTTAAAATAATATACTCATATAAATAATTCTCAAATATATAATTGCAAAATTATGTAAGTCTATACAAAAGACTCATAGAAAGTTTGATTTTAATCGTTGTAATTTTCGTAAAAGAAAAATAAATAAATAAAATCCTGAATTTACAATGAAAAACATTTATAAAAATCACCGTATAATGTTAAAAAAATAAGTATAATTAAAAACAAGCTTGATTTTTATGATTTCTAAAACCATTTTGAATGTATTTTATGCTACTTTTAAATTTTGCGTCAAAATTGAATTAATAATAGCCAATGGTGCATATAACAAAGAAATATTTGATTGCTCAAATTAATATTTCTTTGCGATCTCCAGGAAAAATATATAAAGTGCAACAGAATTTAAAAAATACTGAAATTGATTTACTCTTAAGCCAGTTAAAATTTGCTTTGAAACTTTAAACCGATTAGCAATAACTGTTATTCTAGCCAATACAAATTATTAGGTTCATCTCGTAATCAAATTAATAGGTTAATCTTTTAATCAAGTAAGAGAAATAACTGATTACTATAATCAGATAGAATTTGATCTATATTTCTCACACAGAAATATTAGCTTGACACTTCTAATATAGAAAAAATATAAAACATAATCTATTTATCTTATAAATTAACTTCATGAAAAATTTCTAAAAAGCATATCTGAGATATCTAAAAAACATATTTGTTTTATATGTATTTAATACATTTTATAAAAAGCGTTTGTTCAAAATCTCCTTAATACATTTTTACAAATTGTACAGTTATTTAGGCATTTGAATTTGACTATTTTTTTTTTATTTGAATTAATCAGATAAAGTTGATTTGGATGTATGATATTTATTGAAAAAATATCTAATGTAAACTAATGTTTTAAATAAATATGAGCAAAAAAATGTGTAAAAATAATTTTAAGAAAACTTATTTCAGTTGATTATTATATTTATATGATTTATAGATTATAATACTTTATATTTTTTTGTATTTTGCATTCTTTTTAAAAATAATACAAAAAATTGCAAAGATAAATTTGGTAGAAACAAAATTTAAATAAATACAAAATAAAAGTAATAATTAAAAAATTCTGTGATAAAAATAAAATTACTTAAGCTAAAAATAAAATTACTTAAAATAAACTTTTTTTCCTTATCTTCGTTTTCTTTTAAGCGCGTTCTAAAAATTTTCAGTATTAAAAAAGAAAGCCGTTTGATATATTTATAGAATTGGCTTGAAGTAAAAATGAATAATTAAAAACGTAAATGAGGCAATCATATTCAAGAATGCAAATTAAAAAGAAAACGCGGTTGGTATTAATATCAATATTTTGACTTTAACTCATTAAAGTACAAACTTTCTGTTTTTTTTTCTTCTTTTTTTATCAATCGTTCTGACATCTCTCTTACCATATCTTGCTTATAAAAAAAAATTCCACTTTCCAACTTATCAAATTGTTCATTTTTTTCCACTCCGATTTCAAAGAATCGTACCCGATATTCTAGAACTAATTAACTGACCTTATCTCGATAACGGCAGGCGACGACTAAAGGTCAGTCTCATCACTTCAGTTTACAAAAAGTAATAAAAAATGGCGAAGTTGATATTCCCTAATTCAAAGAAATTGTTCTTTTTATTAGAAGATAATTTGACGTCTTCTCATGTCAATTAATTGCCATTAACTAGTGGTCAAATGTGAAGGGAATTGAATGAAGCAGACACGCGCCAGTCGGAATCCTTTTTTTTCTTTTTTTATTTATTTTTTTAATATTGTCCTTGTGAATCTGGCATCATTGGTAATGATGACAGAAGCACTTGAAGGAACGAACCGAAAAAGATGTGTGACTTAATCGGAATAAAGAAAAAAATAACTGTGATGTAATTTCGTCTTGGGACAAATGATCTTTTGTGGAGTCATTAATATATCGGGATTCGAATGATTTACTTATTATCTTTATTTTATTGAATTGTTTATTTAGAGACCAGCTCTTTATCTCTCAGCTTTTTATTATCCAACAATATTACTACATTTAACATGATATTACATGAAAATATATAAATTTAAGAATATGCAATTTTTATTACATTCAAATTTAATACTTGTAATTCCAAAAAAATATAAATTTTTTTCAAATATACAAATTTATATGGTAATTGAAATTTGCAAGCATACAAATATTGGAATTTGCAACTATATTTAGTTTATATCCAACTTATATGTCATTTGAAATATTTATTTTTCTTAGAATCTTTATTTTCGAAGAAATCAAATTCTATACCCCCCAACCCATTGAATCGGGTAACCGATACCCTTATCAAGTTAATCTAGGTTTATATAATATGTTTTATTTGTTTATATATTTACTTACTTAATTATTTACTAAATTTACTGCTATCTGCAAAATATAATTTAAACCAATCATATGGGAATTTTTCCATTCATATGGTAACTGTTTACCGGAAATTCTGGTTTTCAAAATCATAATTATTTTTAATACATATTTAGCAAAATATACAAAATTTGAAAAAAAAATTTTAATAAAATAAATTTTTTATGCGTACGCTCTAAGCTATCAATGATAAAATTACTAAGTTTTAGCACCTTTGCTGAATTTCAACACACAATATAAATCAATATTTTACTGTAAATTTTACCAAAATCATTACCAAAGAGCTTCGATAAAAATTACCGAACGTTTCAGTGTTCCCATATAGCCAGAAATACGATAGATTTTGCTATATTCCGATAGTTTTGACCATGCATTTTTCCTCAATGTTGGAATTATGCTAAACCATAATTCGTCTCTTACTTAACTTTAAAAGAAATATTAGTGTTTACGAGAATCTATTTTTCAGAGCATCAACGGCCATAACTCTCATCTGACAGGGGATGTTCAAGCCGGAGTACGAGGAGCAATTGTTTAGTACTTTATTCTTAGACAATTTGGCATTCTCGTTAACATTCTTCTAATTAACATTCTTCGTACACTCGCTTAAATCTTACACTGAAACAAAATCAGATCATTTAAGGTTCATTTGTTCATTATCATCAATAAATACCCCACATTTAAATAAGCGTAATTTCTTTTACATCTGATTTGCTTATAAAAAAAACTCTTAAATGTGAACACCATTAAGCAGACGAGGCTTGGTTTTTTCCGGCCTTTCAAATTATTTTCAATTACTTTTTCGGCATTAAGATATATGTAAGAGCTCTCAAAACTGAATTTTTTTAATATCTGGATGATTCGTAGCACTTTTTGAAAAATATGTTGTTACATATTTAGAGACGTATTTCTAAAATTACCTGCTGAGATTTGATTTAAAATTTAAAACACGTTTAAAAAATAAAGTTTTTTAAATTGGGTGTGAATGTTTTTTTATTGCGCCCTAGAACAAATTTTTTGTACCTTGAAAAAATTGAAAGAAATGAATGTAAGTTTTTAACATTTTTCTACGCTTTCACTTTATGTGCAAATTTACTTACATATTTTTGTAAGAAGTAAGAAATATTATTAGAAGCATAATGTTGTCATTTTTTTTGACAGCAGATTATTATTTATTCAACCAAATGAAATTTTTGACATTCCCAAAATTAAAGTTTTTTATCTCGGTTACAGCCGTCTAAGTTAGTTTGGAGAACTAAAGATTAATTTAAAGGCAACTGCAATTGATAGCGATTAACTACTTCTATATTTATTTGTTGTCTCTTTTGCCAAGACTTTAACCACCATACATGTGATTTCGCAATTCTTCCTTCACGGTCCATGGTAATATATATGAAACCATCCTTTCTTACTCTAACGGACCAAAATATCACATTGATGTGATCTTAATACGATACTCTTGTATTACAAAAACTTCCCACGGTTAGACCAACAGCAAGGGGATTCTAACCCATGATCCATCTACCATTGAGAATGTTTTACGTCAACATTGTGGTTGGTCAGAGCCGAGAGCAGAATTCGTATCAACCAGGCCTCATTGGGAGGCGAACGTTCTATTTCTTGAGCCACAGCGACTCATGGAACACAATTAGTAGCTTTTGTAATGGGTTTGGAACGACAAACTAGATTTTTAGAACGGATGCAGATGATAGCAATAACCCGCCCTCCGCATCACGCTTCCCAACCACTAAGCCTTTAATGTTGGAAACCAAATCCTGGCACAAGGTGGGTTAAAGTCTTTCACACTATCACATAAACGATTTGGTGGATAACATCCGAAATGTTTGTTTACTGTCATTATTTCTCGCACTACATGCACAAACAATGAATGTTAAAAAATTATTTTTCACTAACATCAGCAAATGTTGACATTCACCATGCATGTAGCACTAAGAGTAACATTCATG